AAGCACTGATTACCATATGACCTAGCAATTCCACTCCTAGGAATCTACCTGAGAGAAACAAAAGCCTCCATCCACATATGAGCACGTGCAAAAGTTCACAGCAGCATTATTCAGAATATCTGAAAACTGGAAAAATCCAAATGTCCACTGACAGATGAGTGGATAAACAAATATAGCATATCCATATGATGGAATACTATGCAGCAATAAAATGAACTTCTGATAATGGACTACAACACGGATGAATCCCGAAAACATTGTTTGGTGAAAGGAGCCAGAAGCAAAACGCCACATGTTGTATAATTCCATTTATATAAAACGTCCAAAGAAGGCAAATCCATTGAGGCAGAAAACAGAGCAGATAGCCCGGGGCTGACAAGCACGAAGGATTTTTGTGAGGGGATAGAAGTGTCCTAAAGTTAGATTAGAGTGAAGGCTGCACACTCTGCAAATCTTAAAAAAATCACTGAATTGTACCTTTGGAATGCCTGAGTTTTATGAGAGTAAATCACAGCACAATTAAAAAAATTAAGAAATAAAAATAAAAAGGGGGTGATGGCCTGACTAGTGGAGACTCAAGGAGCCTCGAGATCTCTCCCCGAAGGAAAGGGAAGCGCCTTCTCTGGAGCCCAGAACGAAGTCCCTCTTACAAAATGCCATGGGTCTCCTGGCGTGAGCGATGTGAAGACACAGAGACTGGATACAAGGTAAGAGCCAGGCCTGGAGGTGTCCACGGGTTGGAAAAGTCGTGTGGACACAGACTCCACGGACTCGTGTCTACTTCAGCACACAGACCAAGTGCACCTGTGTGTCACTTACAGGAAAAAGCTCCAACAAGCAAATTGAGAATGGAAACCAGGTAGCAGGAGGAGGGGTCCTGAACACGGAAACCAACTTCCGGACAACTTGTAGATCAGTTTCTTTACTCTTTCCCTTGGCTCTTATAGCCCAATTCATGTATCTCAAAGTAATGGAGAATCTGCTTCTTTTTTTTTTTTTTTAATAAAGATGTTATTTATTTATTTAAGAAAGAAACAGAGAATGAGAGAGAGAAAGCATTTGCAGGGGACATAGGGAACAGACTCCCTGCCGAGCAGGGAGCCCGATACAGGACTCAATCCCAGGACTCTGAGATCATGACCTGAGCTGAAGGCAGACACTCAACCGACTGAGCCATCCAGGCATCCCCCAAGGTAATGGTGAATCTTAACAGAATTCTTTGGTTGCACATTTTTATCAGTGTAGACTGGCTTTCCCCCAAAGATGTGGCTCTAGTGCGATTTTCTAATAAAGACATCATAGTAGGGGGGCATTTGCCTTTGGCTCAGGTCATGGTCTCAGGGTCCTGGGATCGAGTCCTACCTTGGGCTCCCCGCTCAGCAGGGGAGTCTGCTTCTCCCTCTCCCTCGGTTTCTCCTCCAACTCATGCTCTCTTTCTCTCTCTCTCAAATAAATAAATAAAATTTAAAAAAATGAAAGACACTATAGTGAAGGAACAAAGTAAAATATAAAATTTGGTTAATTAAAGTGACAATAAGATGAGCATTAAAACCTTAAGAAAGAAAGACCATATTAAGGAAATGATGAAAGACAAGGCACTAGGAGTGAAGAGCCAGCACCGGGAAATGGGGTGTGCCGTTCCTGTCAAGTTCTTTAGAGAAAAAGGAACGGATCTGAATGCGGGGGGGGGGGGCATGCAGCAGGAGCACAGGGTGGGGCCCGGCTCTCTCCTCCCCTGAATTCTCTCTCACCTGCCTGTCAGCCTCCCCCTTAGACCTTGATCACTAGCGCGGTTCCCCCGAGCTTGGCCCTCTGGTGGGCACACTTGTGAATGGCACTGGAGCTGCATCACCCCTTCCCACCCTGAGGTGGTGGGGATCCTTCCCCCTGCCTTCTGGAGTCAGGTCACTTGGCCCTGCCCTCCCCGGGAACCTGCATGTGTCCCTGAGGCCTTCCAACACCCAAGGGATGGTTTTCAATCTGCCTCTCTGCCTCTGGGCAACATTTTTCACTAAAACCTCAGCACTTCAGATTGGAAAAGAAAGCGAACAGGACAAGGGCCCCTGGGTGGCTCAGTGGTTGAGCTTTGGCTCAAGTCATGATCTCGGGGTCCTGGGATTGAGCCCTGCATCAGATTCCCCGCAGGGAGCCTGCTTATCCCTCTGCCTGTGTCTCTGCCTCTCTCTCTGTGTCTCATGAATAAATAAAACCTTAAAAAAAAAAAACCCAAACAGGACAAATTCATGAAAAGCAATGCTAATGAGTTAAAAATGAACTTTCCCTGCCTTTTTGAAAACATGCCCTAGAGCCCGGCCACGGGTTCCCAGTCCTCTCCACCTATGCCCAGTGCTCCAGGGCTGGGGGTCCCGACTGGCACTGAGACATCGCTGGTGGCAGCTCCGTGGCAGGGCCCCGTGGGGAGGCTCTGCTGAGACACCTGCCACCTTCAAGTCCTGCCCTCGCTCACCAGCAGGGGCCCTGCTAGGAATCCTCCAGCTGAGTAGCTCCCCATCCACTGAAGGCCAGAGAGCCCCAGAATACATCGTTAATGTGACAAAAAAGCGAGGCAGGAAACCATCTGTAAAGAAGAGAACCGCTTATGTACTAAAGTAAAGGGATACGTATAAACGGGGAGGACCCGTAGGAAGCCGATGACCGCCGTCTACCCGGAGGAAGAGAGTGGGGAGAGACAGGACGGACTGGGACGGGCAGGACTTCCCAGTGTGCATGTCTCTGGACTACAGGGACGTAGTCACCGCGCAGTAACCAAGTGAAACAAATGTGAAAAGGAAATACTGTCTTGTAACAGCCCCACGGTCTCGAGTGTGGACACCTGACCCCGGGGTCATGGCCTTCTCTGTACGGGTGCCAGCTAGGCTAAATCCAGGCGTCCTCCAGCTAAATAAAGCACCACTCCTGTCTCAAGAGCCACCTACTGTGTGCTCATGACGTCCCAGGCCAGCAAGGCCCTAGTCTCTACTACCTTGGGGACTGATGAGGGGGACAAGAGGACGAGGTGGGAGCAAGATGGGCCTTGCCAGAGTCACCTTAGCTCGCAGCAGTGAGGCTTCCAGCTGGTACTCTGACCTTGATTTACTCAGACACGAGCGCCTTCTTATAGTTCACCTCAACAGAGGTTTTCTAGGTCCCTGTAAGAATCTCACACACAACTGACACCCGTGTGAGGCCCGCTTTAAACAAAGTCGCCCCGAAATAGGCATCAGCAGAGCGTGTCGAGGCAGAACCCAAATGCAAAGGGAGCCCACTTAATCAACGTTTCCGTGTCCAGAGAGGTCAGCAGGTTTCTTTCGTAGAGGGGGAGCTAGTGTATACTGTGGCGCTTAGGCCAACACCCTACAATTAGTCCAGAAAAACGAGCCATTGCTCTGATGGACCGTTTCCACGAGGATCATTTATCAAAAAATAGAAGGACCGCAAAAGCTGTCCGTGGCATCGTACAGGCTTGACTGAGCTCATCACACTTTCGTGAGTGACTCAGTAGCGGTGGCCGTTGCCCTCTGTGGGGTGAATAGGGCGAGTGGCCGGCAGACAGCCTGTGCGACATTGATCTCATGATGGGGCAACTTCGCTCTAAGGTCAGTTGTTCGGGAACATCCAGTCTAAGCCACTGTTCAGTGAACTTGAGAAACTGAGTGACCTTCCGGCAGACGAGTAAGACTTCACAACGACAGGGAGCTGTGACGACCAAAGGCTATGTTGGGCCCCAACGTAAAATTCCCCAAATCAAAACCTCTCCCACTCTGCAAAAAAAGCCTTGCAAACATTTCCACAGAACTTGGCAGGGGGCGGGGAGGGGCACCTCAGCCCTGTGGGTGGCCTGAGCTGCGGCCCCCCGTCCCAGGTGGTAAACCAAGGTAGCGGCTGCCGTCCCACCCGGGCCCGAGGAGAGGGCAGCAGGGGGCTAGTTCCCATATTCTACTCTCAGGTGCCAACCCAACAGTTAGACCATCAGGTGCACCAAATTAGAGATAAGATGAAGTTCCTCTTTCCGATCAGGGAAATGAGAAGTAGCTCCATTTAACCTTGAGCTCTTTCACTATGCGATGCGGACCACACTCACCAGGAGCAGGGGCTCTGGTCGGGGGAGCTCCCGGCCCAGCGCCAATCATGCTTCCTCTGCCAAGCAGAGAAGAAACGCCCTCCCCACCACCCCGATTTCAGGATACACATTGAGACAAGTGAGTTCTTTATTGGTCTCTGTGGCTCTACGAGAGAGCAGCATTATGCCAGAGCCGTGGGCAAGGACCATGTGCAGGAGAGCCCTGGAGCTCAGGATGACCCGAGGTCTTGCATGATCAGGACCGTCAGTCCTGGGCTTCAGTGGCTGGCCGGGGACCCTGAGCCCAGCATCAGCACCTGTTAGGCACTTGTATGTGCACACTCTCGGCTGCACCAGGACCTGCTGCAGGCGGATGCACTGCGGCCTGCACACAGGACGCAAATCCCCAGCCGAGCCAAGCTGGCCCCAGGACTGTGGAACCCGCCAGGCAGCACCAGCAGAGTCCTTGGCGGGCAGGAGCCCCTCTGGGTCTCATTGCTGGAAGCCGTGGAGAGCTGGACCCTGGGGTGACCGTGGTTCAGATGGCTGACGTGCCAAGGGAGCAGAGGCCCAGGCGGCCCAGGGTGGGTGGTGAAGGTGGCTCCATTCGCACTCACAGCCTCACCCCACCTCCCCACCCTGCTCCAGGGCCCCGAGGAAGTGCCAGGTCCAACCTCCAGATCTCAAAGTGCCAGGGACCAAGGGACCTCAAAGCAGAGAGGTTAAAACCAAATAGCAACTTCACATCATCTGTAGTGAACTCGCCTCCCAGATCATAACACAGAAGCAACGGAACGTGCTTCCATCATTTGGCTGCGCTCAGGAGTTGCCCGTCCTGGACAAGACGCCCCAAAGCCACTGCAAACAGCCCACGGCATCGCCGTTGGGTCCCGCGGCACTGCGGCTGCCCGCCATCCTCGCAGCCCGCACAGAGCCCATCAAAAGTTCTGTTTCACTTTATTGGATACACCAGGGATGGGAGTTACAAGTGAGATCATCGGTGTGCCAGCCTGTGAGCCTCCTCTCCCACCGGCTCTGAAATGAACGGACCTCGCCTACATAGGACACAAACACAAGCAAACCAAATTACAATCAGGTGGCGTCCCAGGGTGGGTAAAGTAAACAGTTAAATTACTAAGCTCGCCATACGTCCATGAAAATGGCATACAAAACCATATAAATTACATTTCAGGTCTGTACATGATTCTCGAGAAACAAAACAACAATACTGTGCTCTGTACAACGTCGCTCCAAACATTCCAAACCCAAGAAACACTTGCCCCTGAATTCCAGAAAAGTGGGCGAAAGACACATGCAGGATGATTAAAATCATTTCACAAAAATGCAAAATCGCATTGGGTTTCTTTTAAGGCACATTTGCATGTAAGGCGCAGAGAACTCCCATTTCAGAAGCCCCGTGTTCACGGGACCCTGGCAGGCAGGCGGCAGCATCCTGTTCCCGCCGATCCTGGGCGGCAGCGGGGAGACGGTCTCTGGCAGAGGGGCAGGGCGGGGTGGGTGGCAGGGAGACAGCAGGCCGGCTCCATCCTCGAACAGGCCGGCTGCCCCGAATCCCAAAGCCCGACGTCCCGCCTCGCAGCCCCACAGGCCTGTGTTCCCAAAGTTGCACCACGTCCGATCCTATGTGCAAGGTGGAGGGCAGACAGTACCTATGTCCCTGCAAAGTGCAGGCCCTGCTCACCCACCACCCATCTCCCTCGGGGAATGCTGGGGGCGTAGGTGGTCACCGGGCATCCCTCTGGGCCACCACCTTTGCCTGGTCAGGCGCCACCAGCTCAAAGACCCTCCAGCCGCAAGTGGCCACAAACGGCAGCTCTGCGCACGAGAGGACGACACGGGTGCAGATTCTGTGCAGTGGGAGTGCACGCCAGCCCACTGGTGCCTGGGCTTGAGCCTCCCCGCTGAGTGCCCAGTGGCCCCAAGCCCCCTCAGGCCTCCAGCTGCCCCTCGGCCTCATCCATCTGCAGAGTCTCATTGTCCCCTAGCAGTTCAGTTTCCGGGACAGAACCATCCTCCTCCTCCTCTGCTTCCTGCACTGGGCTCTGGGCTGCATCGTCTGGGGTGTTCTGGGTGTCCTCGGTGGCTTCTGAGAGCAGGGCTGCCCTGTCGGCCATGGACGTGTTGGAGGGCGCCGTGGTGACATAGCCTGTGCTGGTGGAGCCACTGCCACTGTGGTGGGAGCCGGGCTTGGGGACCACCTGGGCAGGCACCTGCTGCGGGGCCATCTGCATCGGGATCTGGACCGGATAGAAGTTGGACAGGTAGGCCCCATAGGCGGGCACCGGCTGGTACCCATTGACTGGGATGTAGAGCTGGGGAGGGGGCACCATGGGCCGGATCTGGCCCTTCATGGGGATGAACGGGGGCTGCGGAAAGGGCTGGGCCTTCTGCTTGGGGCCCCCGTAGCGGGCGTTGCTGACATTGCTGACCGGGCTGGTGCTCAGGGAGCTGGTCTGCGTGGTGTTGCTGGCGCCCGAGGTCTGTGCCGAGCTGTTGTAGGTGGACAGGCTGCCCCAGGCACGCAGCCGGCTGTGGATGTCCTTGAAGCGGGGCCGCCGGCTGGGAAACTCGTTCCAGCACTCGATCATCAGGGCATACACCCAGGCGGGGCAGTCGTCCGGGCAGGGCAGCACCTGCCGGCTGCGGACCATCTCCACCACGTCCTGGTTCGAGTGTCCGCAGTAGGGCTGCAGGCCGTAGCTGAAGACCTCCCACAGGACCACGCCGTAGGACCAGATGTCTGAGTCCACGGAGAACTTGCCGTACATGATGGCCTCGGGGGACATCCAGCGGATGGGCAGCAGCGCGCTCCCCATCAGCTTGTAGTAGTCGGCCGAGTACACCTCGCGGAACAGCCCCAAGTCGGAGATCTTCACATTCAGCTTGTCGTACACGAGGACGTTGCGGGTGGCCAGGTCCTTGTGCACCACGTGGTGGCTGGACAGGTACTCCATCCCCGAAGCGATCTGCGCCACCACGTGCACGAAGTCGGGGGGCTCCAGGGCTGACTTCACTGTGCGGTCGTCGTCTGTGCTGCCCACGTCGGAGTGCGGCGAGCGCATGACCAGGAACTCGTGGAGGTCACCGTGTGAGCAGTAGCTGAAGACCATACTGAGCGGCTGGTCCTTGGTCACCATGCCCAGCAGGCAGACGATGTTGGGGTGCTGCAACCGGGCCCGAAGCATGGCCTCGTGCCGGAACTCCTCCCGGAGCGGCCCCTCTGCTTTGTCCTTCAGCGTTTTGATGGCCACGGCCTGGCTCTGCTCCCCTGGCGCCGGGCCGAACAGGTGGCCTTTGTAGACCTTCCCAAACCGGTCCTCTCCGAGCTCCTCCATGAACCTCACCGACGACAAGCTGATCTCCTTGAGCTTGGCCTGCCGAGAAGAAAAGCTGTCGTGAAACACTTGCATTTGCACAACAGGGCAAGGATGGGTGGGGGGGGAGGGCGGTTGGGGGGGAACAGGGGCGGTCCCGGTGTCGCCCACCTGCACGGCCCAGCAAAGGACCCCCAGCGCTGCCCATCCCAGGCTCAGCCTGCCCTGCATACCGCTCTCTGCTCTTAACCACACTGACAGCATGAGGCTGCCTGAGGACCCCTGCTGGGCTGCAAGTTCCGTCCCCCCAAAACTCCAGAGGCACCATCACAGACTGTGTGTGCACACCTGCTCACACTCAAGCACATACACACACATGCACACACACCCAGCCAAGCTGGGCTCCACCATCCCGGAGGCACCCCTGGACTCTCGCATCCATGTCCCCCACGCAGGACCCTTCCCAGAGCTCCCCGATGTGTGGCCGGCGTCGAGGCCCAGGCACCACCACTGCTCCTGGAGAGACCCAGTGTGTTTCTGGGACCCTGTGGCGCGCTACCCACGGTGTCTGCCACTGTCAGAGCCTAGGCCAGCTGCTCTCCAGCGGCTCCACCATGGGCCCATCCCACTGCTTCCTCTTGATTGGCTCCGTCATGACAGAGGCCGGCACATGGTGAAATCAGCCCCAACGTCCTGCTCCTTCTGTGTGTCCCTCCCTGTGCTCAGAGGCTCCCCGTCTCCTCACCGTCCACCCCCACAGCCCCAGTGAGCGTGCAGTGGCCGCTGGCTATGGAGCCAGGTGAGTCCCTTCTCTCCCTGACCACCCTGAACACCCCCTTCAGAGCCCAGCCTGCCTTCAAGTAGTAATGTCCCCTCACATAGGCCAGGCTGGCTGTGACAGCCTGTCTCCTGTGCTGTGTGTCGGGGTGTTCTTGCCGTCCTGGGGGCTCTTGGGGTGGGTGGGGGGTGGGCAAGGGCTGGGGGGATGGCCTCCAGCCCCAGGTGGAGGTTAGACCAGCCTCGCCCTAACTTCTCTATAAGTCTGCCAATCCACCCTTTCCCTGAAAATCAAAGCAAAACCGACCCAAGCCCAAACTGGCCAGAAAGCAGGGCTCTGTCCCTTACAAGAGCCAGACGGGCCCTTGCCTGGTGGCCCACCCGAGCCCTTTTCATTTTGTTCTGTGGGAACCTCAGCACAGCTCCTCGGGCTCCCGCTAAAGCAGCCATCGAGGCAGAGGGACAAGCCATGGACCGTGGGACTGGGGGTTCCCAACACTCCTACCGCTTCCTTCCTAATGACACATGGGTCCTGACACGTCTTAGAGCAGATACGAGAAGATAAAGGGCCATTTCAGATACTTATGTGTCGTGTATCAAGTAAACCAAGAGCCCAAACGTCCAGGCAAGCGAGCTCCAGGCAGAGGCTGTGCCGGGGCGGGGGTGGGGTGAGGGGGCGTGCGGAGGAGACCTGCTTGTGCTGGGTGATGAGAGGCATTTCCACATCCTGGCTTGGAGAAGCCATCAGCTGGCGCCGCTGCGGTGTAGACGCCGAGGCCTTCTGCTTATTCCGGCACATGCAGACCAAGAAGAAAAGACACGCGATGACCAGGGGGATGGCGATGCTCGGGACCAAGATGTACAGAATTCCCATCCTGCTGCTGTCCTGGGGACCTGGCAACGGCAACGTTCACAGTTTTTTTTTAAGACACAATCCCCCGTTCCAACTCCAAATTCTCCGCCAGCCCACGCCCTCCCCCCGCTGCAATATTCAAGCACAAGTGGACGATCCCGTGAGTTCCACGGAGGGGCAAGTCAGCACACCAAGCCTAAAAACGGGTGACATACTGAAAAGCACACAACCCCTTGCACGGGTGTGAGACAATCCAAAACTGCCGCCACGGGATGAATCGGGAATACACGGCACCAAAAAACAAAACAGAACAAAACAAAACCCCGTGGACTCTAAGGGTCTTAGTGTAGTAAGAACGAGCATCCTGGGGTGAGAAATGACCCTTTCTGCAACATTTTAGGATTTTCCTCCAGTTTTCAATATAATGAACATATATTCTTTGTAATAATTCAAAATGCATTTGACGTAAGAGAGCGCTGGTAGCCAGTGAGTCTGACCCAACCGCAACATGGGGCCACAAGCACGCTGGAAAACACGATGGTAAAATGTGCAGATTGTGGCTTTCCAGGTAGTCTTGCCATTTTCACAGGGAGGAGCAATGCTCTGTCTCCCTCTACAGGATCCACAGACAGGTGCAGGGGCCATGCGGGGCCGCAGTGTCTGTCTGTCTGTCCCATCAGTACCACGCTGACCCACTCCCCCACACCCTACTAGAGTTAAAATCAAATAACACCACAGAAGGCTCTTGCTCTCCGCTCCCTCCTATTCCGGGCAGATGTTCTAGAAGCCTCCGGGGCAGTGGAGGCTTGGGTCATTTCTCCGGGGAGATTTCATGCCCCTCAGGCCCAGGTCAGGGATGTGAGCGCCGTCCAAACACCTGTGCGACCATTTATTTTATCATCATCTTTTCAAAATCACCAACAGATACCATGCCTATTAACAACTGCGGTGATTATAGGGCCGCGAACATTCCTGATGGCCCATTTACCAAAGGCTACACCGCTGTTAGCAGGTTGGTGTTCACCTGATTTTCTATATTCGTGTTAAGGCGAACACCAAAGTAATGACAGACAGAGCTGTTCTGACAACAGTCTCACAACCAGAATTTTAAATAGAATTCTTTTTAAATGGGATCCAAGCCTCCATGTTGCCCCGCCCCTGGGTTTTGTGGCAGATTTATACATCTGAGACGAGGTTCCACGAAGAACAGACAGCTCCAGGCATTTGTCGGGAGCCGCACACAACTCGGTGTACAGCTGTATCTCTCCGTCATCCTCCTGCCCCTGCTGGGAAGCAATTAGCCTGCTGCTTCTTTAGCGACTCAAAGTGATCCTGCAACACGTATCCTTAGCATTCCTGCCAAGTGCAAAGATTTCTGCGATGGAAGATAATCCTAGACCTGCCAGATCAAACCGCATGCATATTTTTAATGTTTTGATTAATTTTTAACTACAAAAGTAACAACTGCTCGTTTTAAGAACGCATCCTTTTTTTTTGGGGGGGGGTCTTCTCTTAATTTAAATTCAACTAATTAACCCATAGTGTATTATTGGTTTCAGAGGTAGATTTAGTGACTCATCAGTTGCATATAACACCCCGTGCTCATCATATCACATGCTCTCCTTCATGCCCGTCACTCAGGTACCCCGTCCCCCCGCACCCCTCCCCTCCAGCGGCCCTCAGTTTGTTTCCTATGGTTAAAAGTCTCTGATGGTAACATTTCTGTAGGCAATGGAAGTCCCTGCTCAAAGTTTGGTGTGTATCTTTCCAAAACTTCATCCATAAAATGTAGGTGCCTATGTGTGCTCACACACGCACATGCACAGCTTTCCTTTGCAAAGAAAGAGCCAGAGAAGGGAAGGGAAGGGAAGGGAGGGAGGGAGGGATGCAGACAGGGATGGGGTAGGGGGAGAAGCAGCAAGCAGGAAGAACACAGCTACAGCCCTACAATGTCCTTTCTCTAACAGGACATCATGGACAATTTCCTTCCTCGCAGGAAATTTTTTTTAGACAACTGTGGCATTCTGCAAAGCAGCTTTACGATCATCTAACTCCTGACACTCTCTTAAAATTTATTCCTGCGGTGAACTCACATTCTTGAAGATCTGTGTTAAGATCTGTGCTAAGAGGAGTGGCAAATTTGGAACTGCCCAATTACACTCCCGGGAAGTAAGGGATCCGAGCAGCTGCAGGTGCAGGCTCGCCCAGCCCGGGGCCGCTGGGGCAGGGGCGGAGGTTGGCGGGTGGACGGCGAGCCTGGCTTTGCTTCACGGTTAATCTCTCCTCCTCTGTCTCTTCTCGGTAGTGTTTTCCAGCAACCCACTGCCTCTAGGTGCCCAAATGTAAGACTCAGATGGCAGCCAATCTTCTCTCGGGCACCCAGGCTGGCGGAAGCTGGCAAAACGTAAATGGTCTCAACACAGAGTCATGCTTGTCAGGTCTGCAACCCTTAACGGCCCTCTCTTCTTCTGTCCTTAATTTCACAAAGAAATTGCAGGGAAACTGGCAGGGAGACTGAAGTTCAGTTCTTCCTCAGTTGGCCAAGTCCACCTGTGAAAGCTGGTGTGGCAGGAGGTGAAGGAGGGCGGGGGGTGCTGCGTCCCCAGCACCAGAGGCCAGGCCTAGGCTTGACTGCAGCAGGAAGCACTTTTCCTAACATTGGGAAACATTATGTAACAGCGTCGATGGAGAAACCAGATGCCAAACTCAACAGCTCGGGACCACACACAGGGAGGAAAGCACTGACGGACCCAACATGTAAACAGCAGTCTCCACGGAGAGGTGAAATCTGGGGTGAAAGGCACATGACCCTTCAGACTTTCCTCCTCTGTCAAACCTCACAACCAGATAGGACTGCCAGGACCCACAACGGCTGTATTTACAACCAATAATCATGGTGGGGAAATGGGGGAGGTGCCAGGGCCACCAGCCCCCCAGCCCCACACCACCACAGTGCACTCAACAGTTAATGCGTTCAAAAAAAAAAGAGAGAGAGAGAATACATACTACAAGAGGGTACGTCACACAGTTCCATGCGTACGTTTTTATTCTGCGTGAAGCACCAGGGGCCTTCCATCTGCCCCCCAGGGTTCCGGCAGTAAGCATGCCCCCCTCCGAGCTCGGGGAAGTCTGCGCTGGTTAGGTGGTGGCTGTGGGGGAGCTGCAGGCCCCACGGCTGGCACTGGTGCCCTGACTTGGTGGTGCTGGCGGTGCCTCTGTAATCTGTGCCCGAGCCATTGTAGCACTGATGGTCTGGGAGGGAAAAGACATGTTAGGAGGCCCGAAAATTAAGCCTTTCTCGGGGGGGGGGGGGCGGTGTCCAGAGAGTATCCGTCTCCACCTCTCCCCAAAAGCAACAACAGAATCACTAAGCCTGCACCTACCCAAACGGGAATTCCCAGGAGACCCAAAAGTTTCCTTCCCAGAAAAGCAGCATTTAAAACGCATTTTAAATGAATCTCATGACTTCCACGAAGCTCCAAGGCCACAAGTTAAATCAGGGGTGAATCAGGGGATACATGGGGGGCAGGAAGCCCATTTGAAGTGATGCCATGATCCTGAGAGCACATTTGGGACCTGCCAGGCACCTCCATTCCCAAATGAGGATGTCGACCCCAACCTCCTGTTCACTTCACTAGAAGCAGAGCTGAACTGGCCAGGAGGGACAGTGAGCACCCAGGCCCACACCCTCCAACGGCCGCTGTGCTGCCCAGTAGGACACCGCATCATCTCTGCAGTGCACGGGGGGTGGGGACCCAAACCCAGGGTGCTCCCTGAGCCAGACCCGGGGTGCATGTGTGTGCTGAACAGCAGTCCTGCAGAGCTTACCGGGTGTAGACACTACTCTAAGCAGCTTCTACAGATTCACTCATGTAATTCACATTCCCCATCTTCTGAGGATCGTAGTTGCCATCGCCGTGCAATACGAGGAAACTGGTATTTAAGCAACGTGTCCAAGCTCACCTGGGGTGAGCCCTGAGCCAGGATTTGGACAGAGCCGTGAGCCCTGAGACCAGGCTCTGGCTGCCCTACCGAGGAGCTCCGTGGTGCTCTGGGAACCCCCAGCCTCACCAGAGAGCTGAAGAGAGTCCCAGGCCTGGGAGGAAGGCGGCCTCTTCCCCGGGTTTGCCCCTCCCTCCCCTTCAAGGTGCAGCACCCCGACCTCCTCAGAGATGAGAGATGTTTGGGGCCCAGGGCAGGTATGGAACGCGGCCCCGCCTGGGCTCCCGCTGCTCAGGGGCCTCTGCAGCACCCCTAGGATGCCGCCCCCTTGGGGTGTGTGTGGAGTCTGAAGCCCTAGTGGGTGGCGACTCACTCGTCCCTAAGAGCAGGGGCACAGCGGCTGGGCCTGGAGCCCTAACGTGGGGCCCCCTCCCTGGGGGACCGCCCGGCCTTGGGAGGGCCCAGCTCCGACACACACGGCCCGGGGGAGGGGGGCACCGGGTCAGGGGACTCACAGCGGCCCAGGCGCTCGGCCGGGATGCCGATGCGCATGCAGTTGGCGGCGTCGGGGCTCTCGGGCAGGGGCAGCGCCTCGCACTTGGGCAGCTGCAGCCGCATGAGGATGAGCGGGTTGGAGCGCGCGATGGTGTACTCCTGGCGGCACAGGTCGCTCTCCAGCACCTCGCACTCGTCCCGGCACAGCTCGCGGGGCTTGGGCGCCCGGGAGCGCGAGTCGCACAGCGGGAACACGAAGTGGCAGAAGGACGGGATGGCAAACTGCGAGCACTGGTCCGACAGGTGTGTGGAGGTGCCAATCATGGTGAAGGCCGCTGTGGGGGCAGGGAGACTGGTGTCAGGGTGGGCGGGCACCTGCTCTGGGGCCCCCAGGCCCCCCCGCCCCCCACCGGCCGCACCTGCGGCACCTGGCCGCATCGCCAGCCAGGTGTCTCTCACCTGCTCGGAGCCCCTGGCCCCCTCCCTCACTCGTGCCCACCCACCCTCTCCCCTCCCCCGCCCACCAGGGCCCTCCAATCCTCCGCCCTGTCGCCCTGTCTTCCTGTCTTCCGCACGCCCAGAAAGGCTCTCACCCAAGCAGACTCCCAGGGAGCATGAGCCACCCTGATCTGCACCAGATGAAGAAAGTCCCAGGTCCCAGGGCTTCACTTACAGACATCATAAGCAGAATAAGAAAGGAAAACCACACCCAGGTTCTCATCCAGCTAGATGCTTCTTCCACCCCAGGAAGATTCGGATTTTACACCCTTCCTAAGGCCCTGCTATGAACTGGGCTCTGCAAGCACAGGGCGGCTTGTAGAGCAATGGGGCTGGGTGGCTTCTAGAAGCAGAGATGGGAAAAGCACACAAGGACCAAGCCCCAGTCTTCTTTCTGACATCCGGGTCCTTGGGTCTGTGGGCAGAGAGGCCACCTGGGGAGGCCCTGTCAGGGCCTGGGTGGAGAAGGAGGAAGGGAGTAGGCCAGACAGGTGGGCAACCAGCCCTGTGAAATGCAGCCACGGGAGGAGTAAGAAAACAATGGGAGAGGCAGGGATGAGAGGGGCATTAGCATGACCCCTGATGTGGAGAGAGGAAGTGGGTGGGGGCTGCAGGGTGAGCGGGGGAACAGCAATGCCTGTGGCAGGAGGGCTGAGTCGCCCTCTCGGCCACCAGGGCTCAAAGGAGGCATCAGCCAGCAAGTCCACTGCCAGGAGGCCCGTCTGCTTTGACCTGTGGAGGACCTGCTTGTGACGATCTAACCTCTGACAGCTAAAGAAAGAGACGCCCCTCTGCCCACACACCCTGCAGAGATGGGGAGAGAACAGGACAGGTTGGGCTTCCATCCCTGGGACACCAGTTCGACCTAGGACTTGTGGTGGGGTGCCCGGTGAGGCCAGTAGGTGGCACTGTGGGCACCCATTCTCCTGGGGACCTGCTGAGCACCCAGGGCAGCCAGGGGAACAGATGAGCTGGTGAGGGAGCCCAGTTCTGGCCCTGCTCGCTATTTACTACAGGATAGGGAGTCACTCAGTCCTTTCTGGTCCTGTGTATCTGTCAAGCAATTTGTTGAGGCCACACGCTGGGGGATGGAAGCCTGCACAGAGCCTGTAAGATGGTCCTTCTGGCCAATATTAAAATCAAGGAGCAGAGAGTTAAGAGGTTTAGGTGCAGGCTGTCTTGGAGCTGGCTCAAGAACCAGGTGTGAACCCAGTTCAGTCCCATCACGGCAGAGGTGGTGACCATCGTGAGGGCTGTCATGATGTGGGCTGTGACCCAACGCTCCCCTCCCCAAAGGCATGGAAAGATGTTCTAAGAAAGCCAAACCTAGCATTTCTTTGGGGGTAATCAACCAATAGAGTGGCACAGCTGACCCTTTAGTGATCTCTCCTCTCCCCTGACCCCCTCAGAACATATCCCGTGAAGGCTTATTTCTGAAACTATGGCTCTAGGTACCCAGAAGGTCCAACAGGTCATGTCCTCGCCTTTGCCCGCTCCTCACAGGTCACCCTGAAGGCCTCCTGGGGCCCATTCCCTGGGAAGCTTCCAGAGTCCTGGGAACAAGTTCTGACAAGCCTGCTCTCCAAACAGAATATCTCCACAACCAACAGTCTCAAAACCACAGGCCGGCAGTCTAGAGCAACTTCGACTTTATTCTCTCCCAAATTCACAAATCTAGAGAACATCGTTCTAGGCTTGTGTCTAAAAACTGCTGTAAAATCAGTCTGCTTCAATATCTGAGTTGTTGAAGGCTGCAAACAGGTCCCTCAAATATAACTTGGGAACAATCTTGTGCCTGGAATCAGGGCCTGTCAGTTAGTGGGATGAACATTCTGGAGTCTGCCACTAGCATTTTACAAGATGATTAGAGCAGAACAGAAGATAGCAGAATGCATGGCTCATATTAAGGCTGTAACCAACTTTTTCCCTTAATGAAATAGAACTGAAGAGAAAAATCCAAGTGCACTGGTTTTGTTAGGGATGGTTTTTGTTTCTTGTAACCGATGTCACATCTCTGAGATACAGGTATGGGTAAACTAAAAACTAAATCATAAGTAAAGCACACATTTTTACTGTCTGTTGGGGTCAAAGAGGTCTGAGAAGTTCTGCTTTAATGACATGAAAAGCTTTTCCAATGAGATACTGATGTTTCCAGAATGTTCTCAGGGGTTCAGTAACTATGGGCCAGGCAGATCTGTGATAGACCATGACCTCAGACCCTCCAGATTGAGGTGAAAGACGGGGAAGGCTGGCCTGAATTTAGAAGGACATGTCAGTGACACCTCCATGAGCATCCCCTAGCATCCTCACCAGGGCAGTGCTTTTTTGCAAGCCTCTCTGCAAACCCACCACGTCTCCCGGGGAGCCCAGCATCAGAGGTGGGTGGGTAGCTCTAGTGGGCAGCCAGGGTCAAGAACTATTATGTAGAGAACCCAGTTGAACTGGGCCATCTGCCATCTTCACAAGATTTTCCTCATTCCTTAGATAGTCTGGAGAGAAAAACGTGCGTGTGTTTGTAGGGAGAGGAGAGTCCAGAGGAAGAGGGCTTTGCAGGGCTTTGGTCTAATTCATTGTCTTACTTCTCAAAGGATTTTCCCCAAGAAGACCTTCACATCAACATGTAAAAGTCAGTGCACTGAGGACCAACAGTCAACCAGAAATGGCAAATAGCAGAGACAAAGAACACGCAGCGTCGTTTCTCACGCCGTGAAGCAGGCTCCTGAAAGCCCAGAGCACTGCTGCTGACCCGCAAACCTCTCTCCCAAACTCCGAGGGGCCTTGTGAACCTTTTAACCAAGCCCCTGTCTGAGAGGGAGCCAGAGTCAGGGAAAATAAAAAAGTCAAGTGTTTGAATGGTGTGGGCACCGGCCTGCCTCCAGGGTGGCCAGCCCAGGGACAGGGAAGCCCTGGCGACCCAGTGAGGACAGGACATCTCAGGGCTTTGAACCCACGTGGTTGACCCAATGAAGTATATCAGACATATACTCTAAGCAATCTGCACTTGCTAATGGGAACACACAGGTGGGAACATTTTAGGGGAAACTGGGGTGGCAGTCCCAACTCCTTCTAACAAAGCTCTCTGACTTTCCATGGCAAGACACATGCACCAGGGTTGGACCGTCCAAGACGCCGGTGGGACTGTCTGTGCAGACACGTGGCAGCGGGGCACGTGCTCACTCTCCCACGGCGTTGCTCCTACCTGTGATTCGGTTTTCAATCTCCCCCTGCATCTGGAGGGAGTCCACATAGATGGTCCGGTTCCCAATGAAGCGTGCACACGCGATCCCCCGGTAAGGCTGGCAGAAGCCGTCCTCATGGTAGTCGTCTCTGGGGAAGATATGGTCTGTGAGCATGCTGGTTTTCTTTCTTTCTTTTTCTTTTATTTTCAAATCCAGCATCTTATGATCAAGGCATCTCGTTCCTTGGTATTTACCCAAATGAACTAAAAACAGAGGATCACACAAGAACCTGCCCACAAATGTTGACCACGGTTCTATTTATTTGGATCGCCAAAACTCGGAAGCAACCAAGATGTCCTTCAGGAGGTGAATGGATAAACAAACTGTGGTCCACCCAGACAGAATATTAGCCAGCACCAAAAACAAATGAGCCAGGCAGCCCGGGTGGCTCAGTGGTTTAGTGCCGCCTCCAGCCCAGGGCCTGATCCTGGAGACCCAGGATCAAGTCCCACGTCAGGCTCCCTGCATGGAGCCTGCTTCTCCTTCTGCCTCTCTCTCTCTCTCTCTCTCTCTCTCTCATGAATAAATAAGTAAAATATTTAAACAGACAAACAAAAAATGAGCCACAAAAAGACATAAAGGGTCCGGAGCTTAAATGCACGATACGAAGTAAAATACCAATGTGGAAAGGCCACGTGCTGTATGATTCTAGCCATCTGACATTCTGAAAATGGCAGAACTATGGGGACGGCAAAAGGTCAGTGGTTGCCAAGGGTTGGTGGAGGGGGTGGTACGTGGGATGAACCTGCAAAGAACCAGGACTTCAGGGCAGGGAACCTACTCTATATGATACTAAAATGGTGGATACAAGTCATCTCATATTTGACCCCAGAACAGCATAGGTTTGAGCCTTGTGAGTCCATTTACATGCAATTTGATTTCAATAAACAAAATAGAATATGATAAATGTACTTTCTCTCCCTTATGATTTTCTTAGTAAAATTTTCTGTCCTGCAGCTTACTTTATGGCAAGAATTCAGTATATAATACGTACAATGCACAAAATATGTGTTACCTGATTATCAATTATTGTAACACAATTGTACAATTGTAATTGTAACACAATTACAAAATATGTGTTACTTGATTATTATCGATTATTATCGATAACAGCCTACTGTTATTGATGGTTGGCTTCCAGTCAACAACAGTAGGCTACTAGTAATCAAGTTTTTGGGGAGTCTAACATTACACGCAGATTTCCAACCACGCAGAGGGGTGGGCATCTCAATCCCCACGCTGTTCAAAAAGCTGTTGTCTAAATTCATAGAATGCCCAACACCAAGAGGTAACACCAAGAGGAAACAGACTTCCATTAATCGTAACGTATTGATATTGGCTCATCGATTCCAACCAATGCATCACGCTAATGCAAGATGCTACTAATGGGGGAACCGTAGGTTGGGGGGTGGTACGTGAGAACTCTCCACACCTTCTATTTGATTCTTCTGGAAACCCAAAATTGCTCTAAAACATAAAGTCTATTAACTCAAAAATCCAGCACCTTTAAGGGAGTAGAGCCAGAGTTGTGAAAGATGGATTCAAAATGTGAAGCATACACGTGGGTGGGTACATGTTCTGTATATGTACAAATACACACTGAACACTCATCAGGAGCATGTTTCATCTTACCCGCAAACTACATCAGAAACACTACAGTACACCCCTGTAAATGTCTGCGGTTTGAAAGCAAGACTTTTATGAAAATGACAATAATCCAGAAACTGTGCTCTACCATTACACTGCATGAGAGGCATCTCTGAAATGGAGGGAAGCCGTGGGGGAGGGGAGATGCCCAAAGTCTGACCTTCAAATAATTTGTACAAAGAGATGTGCTTATTATGCAACAGGGAAGTGTGCAATGTAGACAGATACCACAAATCACACTTCTAAACGCAGAGGTTGGATGGGGAGCCTTACAAGAACATGGTCCTCCACTGGGCCACCCAGTCTGACTCCCTCGTTGGGGCCTGTGCACGGTCCCACTAGAGTCTGTGCCACATTCTTTTTTGCTTTAAGATTTTATTTATTTATTCATGAGAAACACAGAGAAAGAGGGGGAGAGACAGAGAGAGAGGCAGAGACACAAGCAGAGGTAGAAGCAGGCTCTGTGCAGGAAGCCTGATGTGGGACTCGATCCCGGGACCCCAGGATCATGCCCTGAGCCAAAGGCAGATGCTCAACCGTTGAACCACCCATGTGTCCCCTGCGCCACATTCTGTTTGTAGAACCTGTTAGTCCTGCCTTCAGCTGAGGAGATCAGGCATTCTGAGGACCCACATGCTTCTTAGAGGGCCCTCAGGATGCTCCCAGGAGACGGTGGATGTGGCCACAGCCGATATATGACGGCTGCCATCTGCTGGGAGCAGAGGAGCGGAGCGGGGGTTGGGGCTCTGGGGCAAGCTTCTGGCAAGTGCCTTAGGCCTGTCATAAAGTCACTTGTTTTCTAGCAAATCTGTAACCTGCCCCCAAGCCTAACAACACTTGTCTTTCCGCCCTACACTGGTTTAGCCCATCCCCCAATGAAAATCTGTGTTGTGTCCAATTTCACCAAATGGACTTAAAAATCTGTATTTTACAAACGTAAAATCTGGATGCTCATAATAGTGGAGACAAAGGGTCTGGAACAATACGGTCTCTTCAGCCGCCTCTGGCTCTCTCCCTCCTCGGCACCTGCAGGAACTCTCTTTTTCAAAGAAAGGAACCTGGAGCCATAAATAATCTAAACAAAGAGAGTCTGGTGTCAACAAGAGCTGGATGCCCTTTCTCACAATCTCGCTTAGCCATTATTTCTTTGGGTCAAGGATTCCTTAAATAGAGTTTAAACAACTAAGCACAGGTGCTAACAATATACACCCAACTCACTCCTTCACTCTTTGTGACCTGGAGTTAACTGCTGACTAAATTAAAACCGATGCTTACACGAGCCCAAGTTCCCTCTGCTCCAGTGTGTGTGCCACAAGTCACTGTCTGCGGGTGGGTTCGGGGCACTTACCCACTGTGCCAGGAAGATCAATGAGATATGCATGCTCTGTTTAAAGTCACCTGTGACTGGGATAGGAGATGTGATGCAGTCAGTCCCTTGGGGTGACTCCACAAGAGGAAGCGATTTCTTTTCTTCACTTCAAGAATCAAGGAATAGAAAGCCTGGTCCCCCATGGTGGGCAGGTGCTCCCAGGACCAGGAGAGCAGGGGGAGATGGGAGGGATGGGTAGGGAAGACATGCTGAGAAGGGGCTCAAGGCCATCTCATCTCAACTGCTGCTAACTCGGCTCACTGGGCTTCTAAGCTGAATTGTAGAGAATGTCCAAAACCACAAACAGAAGTAGCTAGAAAATGACATCCTTCAGCTTTCTGAATTTTGAGAAAACACGTGGAAACTCCTGTTTAGTTTTGAGCACAATTATATTTTACCTTTATCTGGCATAGTTTTGGACCTCTGAAGAGTGACAGAGCTACTGAAGTCTGTAAAACTGGTCACTCAGATGGGATGCCTGGGTGGCTCAAGCAGTTGAGCATCCACCTCAGGGTGTGATTCCAGGGTCCTGGGTTTGAGTCGCACATCAGGCTCCCTGCAGGGAGCCTGCTTCCCCCTCTGCCTATGTCTCTGCGTCTCTCATGAATAAATAAATAAATAAAATCTTTTAAGAAAACAAAAGGTCATTCAGAGACTAAAGAAAAGCACGGAGACAGAAGCCACCATCTGTAAAAGCCCTTAAACCACAGGAGCGAAACATCCATGCATACTGAATCACAGAACAGCAATGTTTGGAAATTACATTTCAGGTAGGTCCTACATTCCTAATGCCTCACACACTAATCTAAGGCTTAATGACACAGATGAAGAAGGAACTTATAAACCAACAAATTCATGGTCGAGGAGGGGAGACAGATAAATAACTATAACTTATGTAAAAAAAATAAGGAAAGGAGTAGGTGAGTGAGAGCAGCAGAAGGATAGAAAGCGTTTTTCACAAAGGGCAAAAGCACAAAGAGTAAACCGAGGTACAGCACTTTAACAAAGCCTGAAACTAACTTCCATAAGCTTCAGGTGACCTGACAGTAATCCCATAGGTTGCAGTAACAAAAGATTCCTCAGAGGAAGGTAACAAAATCTAGAGTACAAACTATAATGTCGGGTACACAATGAAAAATTAGCAGACATGAAGACACAGGCAAGTATAACCCATGGTCAAAAGAAACTCAAAGACGATCCAGATGTTAGCAGACCAGGGCTTTCAGGAACTCTAAGTGTAGTAAAAAATGCACAGAAGAAAAATATGGGTAATTTCAGGATATATGGAGACTATAAAGGAATTGAAGAACTAAAACACATAATCCGCAATAAACCCCACACTGGATGGTATGAACAGATTAGATAAAAGAGAAAAAAATGGTAAGCTTGACAGGTCAAAAGAAAATTTCCAAACTGAAACATAGATTCAAAAATTTACAAAATAATAAACAGCACCTCAGTGAGCTGGGGGCGAGTACAAGGGGTCTAACTGATGTGCCATCAAATCCTAGGAGAAGAGAGACACAAAGAGTCAGGAAAAAGATTTGAAGAAATTGTCACCAACATTTTTCCAGAGTTGATTAAAAAATAGTAGCACATTAATCAAGCAATGTCAGCAAACAGCAAGCAAGAAAGATAAAAAAACAAAAAAACAAAAAACAAAAAAGGAAAGTACATCCACTCACATAACAGTCAACCTCCTGAAAACTTAAGATAAATAGAAAAGGGGGAACATGACAAATAATTGCTGGCCCCTCATCAGAAACAATGCCCCTCAGCAAAACAGAAGGATAGCTTCTACTCACCAGCAGAGAAAATAAATCGTGAACCTGGAACTCCACACTCAATGGAAACATCTTTCAAACAGGAGGGTAACCAAAAAGATATAAATGTGAACATATATAGTATCAGAGCATTAAAATATATGAACAAGAACTTACAGGACTAGAGAACGAAACAGAAAAATCCACAATTACACTTGGAAATGTTAACACTTGTCTCACAGCAATTCATCAAACTAGATAAAAAAAAACTCATAAAGAAACAACAGTGGAAACACTGACCACCCCTCTTGACCTAATGGATGTTTGTAAAACAACATACTCAACGAGACAGCATCCATGTTTCAGTGCACAGCACATCCACCCAGACAGACCATATTCTCGCCACAAAGTAACTCACAGTAAATTTAACAGAATTGGAATCATAAGTCTCAGATCGCATCAAATTAAATTAAAAATCAATAACAAAAAGGTTTAGAAACTCTGCAAATACTTGAAAATTAAATAGCCCACTTCTAAATAATCTTTGGGCTCAAAAAAGAAAATACAAGAAAAATTAAATGGTATTTTAAATGGAATTCACATAAAATATGAGAAGTGAAAACAGGATACCAAAAATTGTGGACTGCAGCTACAACAGCAATTAAAGAGAAATTTATGACTTTAAATGCTTAAATTAGGTCAGGTTTTATATTGTAAGAAGTTGGAATAAGAATGTCAAGCTAAACCTGAAGTAATTAAAAAAATACTAATGATGAGAGCATAAATCAATATAAAAGAAACAGAAAAATCAATAAAACCAAAAGTTGGTTCTTCAAAAAAAAAAAAAAAAAGAACAAAATTGTTTATACCTAGAAAAACTGATTAAGAAAAAGAGAAAATACACATTACCAGTATCAGAAGTGCAAAAGGGGACATCATCAAAGACTCTAAGGATGTTAAAAGATAATAGGAAACATTATGCAGAAATATGTGAACACTGATCCAATAACTTAGAAAAGTATGGCAAATTCCTTGAAAAACACAATACACTAAAATTAGTGGAAATAGAAATAAAACTCACAATAGCCTTAAATATCTTAAGGAATTTGAAGTAATAAAAAACCTTCCCATGATCAAAAACCCCAGGCCCAAATAATAGAAACTGGTGCATTCTATCAGATATTTAGGGAAGAAACAGTAGTTTTACACAAACTCTTTTGAAATATAAAGGAATGAGATACTTTCTAATTCATTTTATAAGGTCAAATGATACAAATGCCTCACAAGGATGTCTAAGGACATAACAGACCAAAATGCCCTTGACCAAATGGGCAACATGCTTCACAAAACAAAAATAAAAAAACTGGACCCAACCAAATAAAAAGACAATAGAAAAATAGGTAATAAACCAACTGGGCTAACCAAGAATGCAAGGTTATTTCAACATTTAAAAACTAGTTACTGAAAACAGAGACAAAGAGGGAAACCATGTAATAATCTCAGTTGACGGAAAAAGCAGTTGACAAACGTCAACATTCATTCATTACTAAAACTCTCAATTAAAAAAAAATCACTCTTAATCTATTAAAAAAGGGCATCTATCAGAACCCTACAATGGATGTGTGACTTAACAGTGAAATAAGGAACATTTTTCCCCATAGACATTGAAAAAGATAAACCTGTCTGCTCTTACCAATTTTAGCAGACATTACCATGGAGGTCTTAACCATTCTGATCAGGAGATAGATTGATCAATTTGATCGATGGATGGATAGATAGATAAATGGTATATAGACAAATGGCTTATAGATTGGAAAGGAAGAAGTAAGACTGCCTTTACTCACGTTTCATACCATAATTTGCATAGAAAATCCTAAGGAATATATTTTTAAACTACTAAAACGAATACAGATTTAGCAAGATCACAGGACAAGGTCAATACAATCAATTATATTTCTGTACATAACAGGAAATGAAAATTTTTAAAATGTCATTTCCAGGGGTGCCTCAATGGTACAGTTGGTTGAGCATGTGACTCTTGGTTTTGGCTCAGGTCCTGATCTCATGGCTATGGGATTGAGCCCCACATCAGGCTCCATGCTCTGTGCAGTCTATTTGGGATTCTCTTCCCTTTCTCTGCCACTGCTTCTCCCCACTGCCTGCGCGTTCTCTCTCTCTCTCTCAAATAAATAATCTTTTTTAAGAAGTCATTTACAATAATGTTAAAAGTACACAAGAGTAGCCAAATTCATAGAAACAGAAAGTAGAATCATGGTTGCTAAGAATTAGGGCAAAGGGAAATGGGGAGTCATTGTTTAACAGATACAGAGTTTCAGTTTGGAAAGATGAAAATGTTCTGGAGAGTTTGGGTGATCAGGTGCATGGCAACGTGAATGTGCTTAATACCACTGAGTTATACACTTAAAAATGGTTGAAATACTTAGGAATAAATATAATAAAGTATGTACAAGACCTCTACACTTCAAACTTCAAAACACTGTAGAGATAAATAAAAGAGAACCTACATAAATAGAAATATATTCCATATTCATTGGGTGGACCATTCAGTGGTTCTAAGGAGTCAATTCTCCCACAGTACAATATCACCTATCAAAATCCTAGCAGAATTTCTTTACAAATTACTTTAAATTATAAAAAAGTAAATAACTATATAATGTGAAAATAAACAAGTGAGCAAAATTAATAGCACCAATAAGGGGTAGACTTCTACCATGTATCTCCAGATGTGTGACCCTGAAAAGGAAACGTCACTTACATACTTTAAGTAAAAAATGCATATGCAGCATCTAATCATGGACATCATCATACACATTAGCCAAATTCAAATGCCGAGATATTCTGTATGATAACTGCCTTGCATTTGTCAAAAATTTCCATGTCCTGAAAGGCTGAGAAACGGTTCCAGATTAAAGGACGTGAAAACAATGTGAAGAGGATTCTGTCCCAGGGAAGGGGTCTAAATGGTATTACTGGGACAATTAAAGAAACTGGAAAATGAATGGCAATTTTCACTGGATTTGAAGCTCTTGTTCTATAAGGAAATATGGTTGATCTTAGGAAATACACACAGAAGTATAAAAGGGGAAAGGGCATGATGAGTGCAGCCAATTCTCAAGTGGCTCAGGAAAAGTAGTAATTACAAATATGTACAGGACAATAATAAATCAAATATGGCAAAATGAGGGATCCCTGGGTGGCGCAGCGGTTTAGCGCCTGCCTTTGGCTCAGGGCGCGATCCTGGAGACCCGGGATCGAATCCCACGTCGGGCTCCCGGTGCATGGAGCCTGCTTCTGCCTCTGCCTATGTCTCTGCCCTTCTCTCTCTCATTCTGTGTGACTATCATAAATAAATAAAAAAAAAAATTTAAAAAAAAAAAAATATGGCAAAATGAGAGTTGGTAAGCCTGGGTAAAAAGATACAAGAAACATTACTATTACTCTTCTCATCATAACTTTTCTGTACATTTGAAGCTATTTCAAAATGGAAAGTTAAAAACATCCCCGGACACACTTATGTAGACATTGACAAACTGATTCTAGAATTTACAGGCAAATGCAAAATAGAATAGCCACAACAATCACGAAAGAGAGGAAGGATGAGGGTGAATTTGCACCATCCAACTGTAACATGTACCACAACGTTACAATTATGAAGACAATGTGATACTGGGATATAAGGACAGATCAACAGAACATGATGGAAAATCTCCCAAAATAGACCCTCTCCTATGATCAACTGATTTTTAATAAAGGCATGAAGGCATTTGAGAAGGATCAATCATTTCAAAAATGGGTGTCAGAAGAACTGGACATTTGTATGGAAAAAATAAAGTCATGACTCCTACTATACACAAAAACTGTCTTTGAGTTGGATCACAGACCTGACCATAAAAGCTAAAACTATGTCACTTATAGAAGGAAACACCAGAGAATATCTTTATTGTACTGAAGTAAGCAAAGGCAAAGATTTCTCAGACATGATGCATAAAAGAAAAGAATGATAAATTAGACTTATCAAAATTAAATTTTCCTGCTCATCAAAAGACAGCATTAAGAAAATAAAAAGGTAGGGCTCCTGGGTGGCTCAGTCGGTGAAGTGTGTGCCTTCAGCTCAGTTCACAATCTCAGGGTCCTGGGATCAAACCCCCAATGGGCTCCCTGATCAGTGGGGAGTCCGTTTCTCCCTCTGCCCCTCCCACCTCATGCTCATGCTCTCTCTCCCAAATAAATAAATAAAATCATAAAAAAGGAAGAGAAAAAGGCAAACCACAGACTGGGAGAAAACATTTTATGTATTTGACAAAGGAACTGTATACAGAACATATAAAGAACTCTTGTTGCTCAACAGGAAGACAAACACCACAGTAAAATTGGACAAAAGCCTAACAGATACTTTACAAAAGTGTGGCCTGAAAAGATGGTCTTACCTTTTGTGAGGAGAAAATGTAAATTAAACCACCATGAATCATCACAACACAAGATGCTGAATGGCTAAAATCAGACAACACCACGTGTTGGCATGGATGTGGCTGCAACTCACACACTGTTGGTGGCAGCATCAGGTGGAAAAACCACTCTAAGGGAAGAGTTTGGCCATTTCTTATGGCTTACGTACATACTTACCATCTGACCCAGTAATCCCACAGACAAGGATGTATTCCAGAGAAACTGAAACATGCTCACAAAAATACCTGAACACAAAACATTCAAAGCAGCCTTATTTATCTGGACACCCAAATGTCCACCCATGGGTAAATATATTGTAGTATTGTTATAAAACAGAGGACTTACCACCAACAAACAGGAATAAGCCACAGGAAGAATCTTTCAGATACTACATGTCATGAAAGAAGCCAGACACAAGAGTCTCCCAAGAGGGTGTAACCACCGCACAGCAGGAGTTTTTAGTTTTTGTCTGTTTCATTCATTGTTATATTCCCAACCCCTTGAACAAAGCCTGGCATGTAGTTGCCCCCCAGTATAAATCTGTTAAATGAATGAATGATTTCCTTAAAAGTAAGACACCATGCTTTATATTTCTAATTCCAAGATAAAGTACTCTTAGCATCCAACTACGCTGATGTATTAGATGTGACAAAAGTGTGCACTTGGTCCAACTGAACACAGTCAAGGCCAACATTCACCCCATAAAAACCCAGGTCAGCAGAACCTCTCAGAAACACTTGGTTCTGCCCTGGTCATCTCTAAGGCCAGGATCATGCGAGACGGCCAGAAGCAGAAAAACGGCAGCTCACATGGGACCAGTTCACCAGGAAGTAAGTGTAATTCTCCCACACTGTGTTCAGGGAGCTGGTCCCTCCGGGGCAAACCTCAGAAGGTTGGTATTTCCTTGGATGACTTTGGAGGTCGGTGTGTGAAAAGCTCTCATCCATGCATCACAGGGCCTAACAGCTAATGCATGGGCTCTACTGAAAACAGAGAAAGACCAAGTGGAGGCATTAAATGTGTTACTACACGTCCAGCACTAATACTATCATTACCGCTAGAGCGCAAACATTTTCGACTGTGTCGTTATGTGGTCTGAGTTAAGGAGGGTGTGTGTTCTCTAATGACTCTACCCACGATGATCTCTTTACTCGCTTATTGCCTGCATCACATAATCTTAAGATGAATTAAGTTTCTATTTTTATTCAAGTCCTGTACTGTGGGATTTAAGGAGTTATATTTTCCGAGAAGCAGCATCTATCATGACAAGAAGTCACAGAGAAAAAAAAAAAATTAGGCTGGCCTCTGTCCTCCCTCCAACTCAGTTTGATTAGGTTGCTGGTATAATGGCTTTCACATCAAATGCTCAGTGTCAGCCTTTTGTCTGAGCCGGTTTACTTACCAACAGTAAGGCAGCTTGGTTTCTCCTGAAGTCGTTTTTAATAATTGGCTTGTTGGCAGTTTCAGGTTTTTTTTTTTAATAGGGCTATTTTCCTGTAATTAGGATAAAGCTTGAACTTGGTTATGACAGTTCCCCCAAAAAAAGCAGTGGAAGGAATTGGAGGGAGCAGAGAGGTTAGTTCTGTTTAGACATGTCAGCGGTGGGGTACCTCTGAGTCATCTGCCCGGAGATGTCCCTGATGTGGTGGAGTTTGGGGGCCTGGAGATGGGGAGATAGACCAGGAAATGGGGCTTTCAGGGCCACAAACAGTAGGGGTGGTGAGTGGCCAAAGCCTTGGAGTCACTTGCCATTTGTAAGGTAAGAAAAGGGCTCAGGAAACAGCCCCAAGGAAGGCGATTTTCCAGAGGCCAATGACTAATGTAATTTTTAATTGTCCAAGAGAACACCACAGCTCCCTTTAGGCAGCGTCTGCTGCTACACATTATGTGTGCACACACGTGTGGGCCACGATGTCGGCCAGGACAGCAATGCTGGGAACAGGGAAGCTCTGATGTGCAGGTCTCAGGGCTACCCCATTCTGACCACCCCTCCACCGCCTGGCCATGCCACCAGGCTACCCTGCGGTGTACATACAGGTCTGTCATCATGAAAATGAACCACATTCTAAAAGAGCAGATAAAAATGAAACCCACACATGAAACATGAGACACAGAGCCTTACATTAATCCCCTCACGTTACCCAAGCTACTACCTGAGTAAGCCGTAATAACGCCGTCTTTGAACTTGGGTCTGTGGAGTCACAGCCTGTTCTTAAAGTCTTTGTTTCCCATACACACACCCTCCTCACCTTCTCTTCAAAAGCATGAAAGGAAAAGCATTGTTTGAACAGCAGTAAATCCCTGTACCTCGCTCAACACACATGAGCCGGTGGGGTGTCCAGGGATCTGGCAGCATGTGCAGGTGTGGTTGTGCGAGGGCTGCAGCTGGGAAAGGGGGCCTGGAAGGGAGTCCTAGCAGCCGTTCCCACTCACATTTCAGAGCAGCAACCCAGTGCTGGCCTGCTGCACTCGGTGACCGACCGAGGCTCCACCATTACTCACTGTTCAGCTCTGCATTTGCAGGCACAGGCACCCGGCTGGTCCAGCAAGGAAAGAATCTCAGGAAATGGCCCAAGAGAGGAGTCAACAGGTGGGATGAGCTGGTGACACTCCAGAGACAAAGATGGAGAACTTATGGACAAATCTGTCTTAAGCCCACTGATTCCCCCTCTTTCTGTCTTGGTTTTGGTTAACTTCCAGAGATGCCACATGGAGGTGGAGTTTAGTCTACTGAATAAAGGTCGTGGTCACCGTTGGTGCCTCTGACTACGAGGTCCCTGATTACAGAAGGTTGTCTGCTGGCACAAAGCAGCAGATCGATTCAGCAGCCCAATGAAAGAATAACTCACCCTAACTGAGTGGATTTCAGACCTGGACCGCAAAGCTACTCAACACCAGGAGCTCTATTACGTAACATAATATTTATACATTCAAAGGAGTAAAACCACACAGCAACCTTTGTATCTGAAAAAGTAACTGCAAAAAATCCGAGTTCTATGCAATTCTGATAAAAATACAAATGGACAAAAGTCCAGATGAAAGAGTAAAAGACAATGGCAAAGAAGCCTACAAGTATGGTATAGTAATAAAGTGGATGTATGAGTCAGCTCAGGCTGCCATAACAAATAGCCCAGGTGGGACAACCTGACTTTTCATAGTTTTGGGGCCGCTGAGAAGTTCAGTATCAAAGTAACAGCCTCTTCAGCTCCTGGCTTATAGACAGCGACCCTCTTGCTGTGTCCTCACATGGTAGACAGAAAGAGCTCTGACGTGTCTTCCTCTTCTTGTAAGGACAGGAGTCTTATAGGATCAGGGTCCCACTCTCAGGACCTCATTTAACTGTCATTTCTTCCATAAAGGCCTTCTCTCTAATACTGTCACAGGGGCCAGGGGGTTAAGGCTTCAGTGTATGAATCGGGAAGTGGAGGGCTGGGAGGAGAAAGGGTGGGGGATGTAATTCAGTCCATAGCAGCAGGGTAAGAAGATTTCTTTAAATATATCAAGATCCACCTTCTGCAAATAGTGCCCGATGTATGCTACCTGGGGCCCCTGCCCACCCTTCCCAGTGACCAGTGCTGACGAGGTGCCGGGGGATGGGGAACGTGGATGAGCAAATACTGACCAACATGTAGCATCTGTGTCACCGTTCACGACATCTGGAGCTGAAGCCATGGCTCTCTGATACGTCTGGACAAGAAATGAGGAGCCCAGTAGCCCCTGCTAACCTCAAACACAAGCCCTGACAAGAGGGGTTCTGGTATGCAG